GTTTTGTGTTACGGGGATTCGAACCCGCGACCCTCAGATTGCGAATCGAGTGCCCTAACCACCTGGCCATGCAGGGCCTAAATAGTATAGAAGACCGATGAACAGGAAAAGCGTTAAATATAGCTTGAGCAGAGGGGACATAACTGCGGGACAAGAGACAGGATTAGCCTGGAAGCTCTACTGCTAGAAGCCTAAGTTCATAGAAATCTCGTCAGATCTACATACATGTAATAATTTTGTTTTGATAATTTTATGTATTCACTCATATCATATATCCATGTAAAGTCCAGATAATAATAGTATGTAAAAAACATAATAATGATTTTTCATTATTCTCATTCGTGAATAATACATTATACACACGGTCATGTGAAATGCTGAAAACAGCTGTAAACGGGGGATTTTTTATTGACCGGTAGAGGGATTTCAAGAGGAGTGTCTGGTAGTCCCGGCTTTTAACAAAACACTTGTGGCTTACAACTGAGTAATACAAGAATACTATTCACAGTGTGCTGTAAGGTTTTAAACCTTGACTTTATTTATGATCTAGCAGTTAACACGCATACGTGGTGATTAGTACTGTCCAAAACCGTTATTCAATTACAGTAGCCCATATCGCCGATCATAAGGTAATTACAACATTTTATTATTGTACTTGTGTGTGTACGATGTAATACATGGTTGTGGAGCATGTTGAAGTCTCGTTTCGTACACAAACAGTATATGATTTTAGACTTTTATGAGCTATTGACCTAAATACTATGAGGATATTTCCTTGAACGTCTGGCTGTACTGGTATACAGTTACATGGAATGGTTAGAAATAGGTAAATTGACTGCGAAAATGTTAAACTTGCATAAGTTACTGTGGGTATCTGACTTTTATTTTTTAACCTCTTGCCAGTAACTTGAACGTTTATAGACAATAGTTGATAGAGCGAATATATGGTAAGTTAAGGCTGTAAATTTGGTAAGAATATTTTATTTTTTAGTGCGAAAGGAGTAAACCTTTTGCCCACAGAAACGGGCAGTGGGTAATACTGAATACCTCTGTCTTTCCCCCTTTAACACAACACTATGAGGAAAACTGGTGCCTCGCGTAACAAAAAAAAAATAAAAATTTTTGATTGTAGTTTTTTATTTTATAAAATTTAAAGACACTGTTATGTATTTAAACTAATTAAAATAGTTAAATGACTTACCTAGACTTATCATGTATCAAGCCAGGTACGTAATGTTATGAACGAATCTGATGGCCGTAGAGGGCGTTTCAATGATTGCAAAGTTAAACCTAAGTGGATTGAATTTATTCCACAATACACGATACCCACCAAACACCTCTAGTACAAAAGATACTTTGAGCCAAAAGGTCTGATCAAAAATGACAGACCAATCGACTTAATCTAGTAATTATTAAAACTCGACAGTACTCTAAGTGATTATAAACAAATGAGGAAATTCGCATACAAAACTTTAACACATAAATACTGCTGTATAAGATTAGGATCTCCGGGAGGACAGATCCATTGCCCAAATACCCTTCCCTTTGCAATGTATACTATCTACATTCTCTCCTTCCTTACACATATGGCGACGTCATCTGCACTTCCCGACTCCTAATTTCATTTTTTACATAATTTAATGAAGTTTAAAAAGATTTCTATGCACATTCGTTATACTCTTTTAATTATACAGAAACTATAAGACAGCTTTTCTCAGCCTTTTTGATACAAGGGACCGGTTCGCTACTTAACTAAACTGTCGTGGACCACTAAATTGCCAGTACAATGAATAACCATTACGATTTGCATATAAATGTTCTGTTAGTTCTTTGTTTTCGTGACTGTGAGGGATCGCCGCGGCACGCAGCCCGGTGATTGACAAATACTGTCTTAAGAACTGAGGCCATAAAATGTACAGAAACGGAGAGTGAGTAGCGCACCATCACGTGAAACACGTCACTTTGCTGTAAAATCGCGCCCGAACTTTGGAAATTAAAAAGTTATGTGTTTAATTACTAAACTAATGAACAAACAAGGAATGATTCGGGATGTGACGAGAAATTATTTTTCTGTTAAAAATGAAAGTGCAAATATTTCCAGTGGTGGTAGAATATAGATAAGTCAGTGGGTGGTGGATACTAGGGATATTGGTGGGATTTCTCCAGTTTCCTCTTTCATTAAATGGGGTATATATATACAGTCTATGTACTTTATGTCATTATTGGCATATTTTGGACAAATTGATAAAACATCAATTCTACAACCGTATTTCGTCTTAAAATCCCATCAAATATTTGAGGGATTTCTTGTTCACATATTGTTCATATTTACTTTCAAGATATACACAGTTTTATTAAGTGAGATGTTTTTAAGTCACGTGTTACTTACTGCTTTTTGATTAAAAAAAATAAAATGTTATCTAAATAATCAAGCCCAATGGACATGAATAATTTTATTCTTATGCACTTTCAGTTGCCACTAGGACATTTTGCAAAAAATAAACACATTTATTTTCATAATTTTTGTATAAAACGAGACAATGGCCCTCCTGTATTTAAAAACCAATAAATAAATTTGTTAAATTTCATAAACCTCTCACTATGCATCGTATTTGTACATCTGCTAGTTTATGTAAATTATTTGTTTCACAAATATATAATTCGCCACAATTTACACATTCTAAAATACCTTTCTTACGAAAATTCTTTTTTAAAGGCTGATTCAATAATCTATACGAATTTTTTAGATTGTCTTCGTGATAACATAATTTCGTAACCTTTCACACGATCTTTTAGTTTGTTTTAATTGTGATTCAAAAAATATACGTAAATTTAGACAACGAATCACTTCAGATGATATGATGTTCTGTTTACGTTTACTAATCTCTCTCTCTCTCTCTCTATATATATATATATATATAAATTTTCCTTAGTAAAAACAGTCATTCATATCAATTTCTAAACTCACTGATCTCTAAATCTTTTAATATAATTCAGATTGTGCCATTGAACTTAAAACTGTGTTATCTCTAGAAATCTATTAAATGAAAAATTAAAAACCGCAAAATGCAAAACTGAAATTTTGTATCTCTCCATGGACCCAACATACCGTGCTAAATTTGGTGAAGGTCCATAACAGGGGGTGAAGTAGTGGTAAAAAACGCCCATAAAAACCACAAAACGCAAAACTGAAAATTTGTATGGACTCCCGCATGGATCTAATGAATAAACCACTATACTTCAAGTAATATAAAACATAAAAGATTAGTTTTCGAAAAAAATATTTCATAATTTTTATGAAATATTTTTTTTCGAAAACTAATCTAAATAGATGGAGGTAAGAGAACAAATGTAACAGTACTTGAGTAATGTTAGTTGGAATTGTGCAACAGTAAAACTACTACTACTATGAACCACAAGAAGGACAATATATTAAACGGTTTATTTTTGAGTTATATTCTTAACAATTGTAAAAATAAACTGCTTTTTTAGAATAACAAGAGTAGTAAAATTAAAATAGTTTTGTTCAAAAGAAAAGTGTTAAAGAAATGGAAAAGAATGGAAAGTATATATAATCTTAAAATAATATATTTTAAAGTATATTTTAATATATTTAATTTTAATATTGACTGTATTTTATGTTTGTACATTGTGAAAAATTTGCATTTAATTTAGGTTATGTTTGGTTGAAACGTTGTAGTTGAACGTTTTTATTATAGATTCTCTATAAAATTACATCACAATTATCTATTAAATCACGAAACTGATAGAAAATCGATAAGAAAAAAACCGAATTTATTTATTTATGTTTTAGGGTCTTTTATGTATTATATGAAATTGTATTGAAAGGTAATCAGTTAGCATGTTCGTTAATACAAATCGAATTATCATGATGTTTGTTCTCATGAAAACAAAGACAAGTTTCTAAAATTCAATTGAAAAATACGTCCAAACTGATACCTAACCGAATGCCAATTGTCAAAAGTTTTGAAAAATGTTTTATATTTTAAGGGTCTTTATTTTATATTATCATATTATATTTTTTTTATGGAGTCTTTTCTGGCCCATTTTTTCTAGACTTTATTAAACAAAATTGTGTATTTTTGCGGGACCCTTTTGAATTTAGGGTCCGGAGCAAAATCATTTGTACTTAACAAGAGAAATATGATGTTACCATTTGTTTTTCTAACCCAAATGTTCCCGGCCAATCTGTTTGGCTCATGGATTACCTTAACACATCTTGAACTTCCTGAAAATTGGGTCGTCTCAACTTCCGCTGTTGAAGGAACTAATACTAGAAATACCACAGAGCTCTATGAATAATACAGTCGAGTAAGTTGTGTCACTAGTGATATGTATAGTGGAGTGATTTTGTGAGGTGAAGAAAGGAGTGAGACGAACAGTTTCACTATTTGGAATTTATATTGTATTTTAGAAGAAAGATGTACAGATACATACAAAAGTTGGCGTCAAAAGGTGAAGTATTTAGTTCTGAAATTTGCAAGTAAACTTTGTGTTAATATTTTGGAAAAAGGTATGGATAATTGTTTTTTACCACGAATAATAAGTCTCATTAATTGTGTTACTTGTGTTTAATAAAAAAAACAACACATTTTCGTTTTAAATCTAACTGTAAAGTCTTACGTATAAACTGTGATAAAGTCAACAAAGAATTAGATGAAGTTGTAACGTTAGATTTAAATTAAATAAAAGAGTAATGTAAGAGAGAGAGAGAGAGAGATGAGGCATAATTATATTTTATTTGATACTACCCGAGATATTATTAAACTATAATTAAAGGAAAACATTGTTTAACTATCCGAAGTCAAAGCTTCAGATCCAGAGAAAATCTGTAATATGATTAACATTAAAAGTTAAATAAATGACTAAAACCGGGTAACATTCTAATTTCTACTTCTATTAGTGGTTGTACAAGTAGTCCCTCTTCGAAGAAAAGCAGCTAAAAAAAAAAACGTTGTTGCACTTTTATGTGTTATCACTATCAATCTTCCTTTGCCCGATTTCCAACAAGTTGGAATTTTTTGTTTAAACTTTAACATTGGAATTTGGGTTTAAAACTACACAAATACCGCAAACGTGGTTTCGCGAAATTTTTATATGAGGCAACAATAAAGTTGTTAATCTAAAATTCAATATTCATGTCACTGATAGTAATACCCAGAACGTGTTTTGATTTATTTAACCAGAGATAGATGTGAAGGCATCAGGGTTTATCACTAATCACACTTAAATCCTTTTTATCCAACACTAGTTCTATGGATTATATTCAATCCTCTGATCGTTAGGAAGAAAACGTTTCTGCATAAAACTTCAGCTCTGGTACTTCAGGTAGCAAGATAGTGATCTCATGACACTAGTGTTAGCTGAGGATTCTGTGTTTAAGTCCTAGTAAGAACAGATTGCTTATCATCCTGATATGTTACATTGGTGTCCAACTATTTATTATACTCAATCTGAGCTGAGTTAAAGATGAATCAAACCATTTGTGTACATGCTTTTCCCTGCAGTTGTGTATTGTGTTGAATGTGTGTGTGTGTTGGGGGGGGGGGCAGTATTGGTGGCTTGAGATGTTATATGTTAGTGGCTTAAAATTCAAGTTTCTGTGTGTTGGCCTAAGGAGGAGGCTTATTTATGTGGGGGGAGTTATGTAATGGTCATGATGGTGAGTTGTGTGCTTGAGACAACAAATCAACCACAAATCCATGGACTAGTGCCAGTCTACAGGGAGATTTCAGCCAGTCTCCAAGATGGTTGAAAAAAATAGTTTTTTTCAGAATACAGTCATTGAAGTATATTGTTTTACAATTTAACTTAAAAGTGCTTTAAAAAGTTAATATTGTACAAAACAGTCTGTAAAGTTTTTGAATATGAACTAGCTTGATCTCAGTTGTAAAAAAGGCTGTGAACCACTGGGTTAGAGCATAAGTTTCAGAAAACTTGTGACCCTATAATCCTGGGTTTAGGCACTGGTCAGGGATATTTTCTAAACATACTGATATAATACTTTAATGTAATAATATTACATTTCTGGCTCATTCACAAATACTTTGATGGTCCTTTTTGAATTGAAAATTTTGAATAGAATCAGCTCTTATAGCTCATATATCATTATCAGAAAATTTAGAAATATTGCTTTAGAATAAGCTATCCAAATCTTTGACTTAAATAATGAACAACAAAGGTAAAAAAACTTTAAGAACTCAACTTGTCAGTTTTGTTTTGTATCATAATGTAAAGTATGCAAAGATAACTAGAAATATAATTTATGAACAATTTCTTAAGTTAATTCTATAAGAGACTAAGCAGGATTTCGATAAAGGTCATTTGGATGACCCATAGAAAAAAGGAAAATTAATTTACCAATAAATAGATTTAAAAAAAAACAAGCTTTAAAGAATATGAAAAATAATGGTGATATGGATATTGTTAAAATGCATAAAAAGTAAACTAAGGCCAAGAAATGTTATGAAAGTGTTAGTTCCAAATGCATTTTTCTTAATGTGTGCTTTAAAAAAAACATGAGTAGTGTGAAGGTAAAGTGAAGTGTTTTTTTTTACTATATATCGTTTCTGAGCTTGCTTTTTTAGCTGCGGTATAGCAACTCGTAGCATAGCTCGAAGTGTTTTTTTTTTTCAAGTACAATCATTTAGTTCATAGCTCTGTCATCTCTTGACTGATTTGAGATCTAATTACAGTCCTGGGCTCAGGAGGTCAAACCCTTTTGATTGATGTATTTGATCATGCCTAAGGTCTCGTAGGTTAATTTATTCTAATCCTGCCTCAAAGAATTTCAGTTTGAGTGTAGGCTGGTAGAAATCCTCATGGGTAATAACATTGAATCAGGTATATGTATGTCCCACACTTGATATTGCTGGTGCATAAAAATATAGCCAATAATTAAAGGGAAAAAAAAAAGGTCTCTTAGATTAATTTACTCTAATCCTGCCTAAAAGAATTTCAAGTGCTGCAGCTACTGAGGATTCCCTCTTGTTTTAGTTTTGAAATACTGTAAACTCCAACTACAACAGAACTGAGTTGGAAAAGTTTTTGAATAGTTATCTGTGCTATTTACTTTTGTACAGTAATAATAGAATTTATGAAGTGTTTGGTTATTTCAATACTTATAAGTAAAAGTTGAAAGTAAATTGCATTTCAGTTTGATATTTTGTATTATCAACAGATTAAGGCCTACTACTGCTGTCTGGCACTCAAGTCTATGCAAATATCAACATATGATTCAACCAAACAATGAAACTGATGTTTCCTGAGGAGATGAATGTATCAACTATTGTTCCTTTTTGTTTGTATGTCAGTAATGGAGACCTGCACAGGGAAGCAATAGAGAGGAAACTTGGTATTCAAGAATTGTGGAGGGCTCTCAAGTTTCAGGTTTATTAAGCATCTCTAAGTATATGTTGTGGGGTATGTTCACAAATATTTAGCTTCAAGATAGAGTTTGATGATGATAATGTTTTGTGACAAGGATTTCTTTTGAAAGATAAATTTATGAAGTGTTTAATCCAAAAGTTTATCTAAAAATATTTGATAAGGATTCAGTTATATAATAGTTAGAGTTCTTAATTATAAACCTGTATCAGTATAGTAACTATTATTATTATTAAAATGTTTAAAAGAAAGATTAGTATTTTCCTAGAAAATATAGTTGATTTAAGTTTTTATTTTATCTCAAAGATGATATGCAGGGACATCCTAGGAGGACTAGATGGTCTTTTGTCCATGTGTTACATTATGAAAGTTTTAACATCTATAAAAACTCATCCATGCCTTGTATACGTTCTACATTTAAGTTAAATTAAAATATGATTAGAAAATGGAATTTAATTTTTATTCATGTGATAGGGTGGAAGACTCGGTGAAATTGGCTACCCATACACCAAAATGTGTCCATAATCTTGTGGAAAAATGTCTGTAAATTGTGGTAACAGTGTTTCCAGTGTGTCTGATGGAGAAGGTGGAGAGAACCACTCTTCTGCAGATAATAGTCTCTGTGACATGTACTTTTCTGATACTGAGGTATTGGTTGCAAGAGCAGCACAGCAAGATGATATATCCAATTATGATTTGGACCAAGGGGATTTCCAGTCTGCTTTTAGAAGAGAATCTTGCCCAGATATTTCAACAGTGGAATCACCACTGCAGGGGGAAGATTTTCCAGACAACTCTCACTCAGCTATGTCTACAGTAGAACAAGGCCTTGCCAAAGATCATTATCATGTTGTGTTTAAAGAAGGGCAGTTTACAAATCCAGCTAGAACACGAAAAATTAGGAGGATTCGAAGAGGAAGACTCAGAGAAAGGAACTTAAAGTGGCCTTTGACACCTAGATCACGGTCGTTTGAAAGAAAACAACCAGTTAGCAGCTCAAGGAAGCAAAAACTTATTCTCTTTTGTCTGTGTCTAGTTAATTTTACATCTTTTTTGAGTATGTCAATCATTGCTCCATTTTTTCCACAAGAGGTGAGATTTAAATTATTTTAGATGACAACTTCTTTTTTTATTTATTCAAGTTTAGTTCACAGTTTGTTTATAAAAAATCTTAGAATTGCTTATGTTTAACACCTTGTACAGGGTCAACACCATCTGCCATTGATGTGTGATTGGTTTGTCACACTTTTTGTGTACCATATTATGACCCTGTACGTATGTGTAGTCTTGAACTGGTTTTACTTACTAGTTAGTCTTATATTATATAAACTTTTTTTATTTTTATCTTTCATGTTAATTAGGAGACCATGGTGGGCCCCATTGGTACACAAAATTGGGCATGCATATTATACATTTAAGCATTGTTCACCCAAATACATTTTGTTTTCAAATAGTCTTACAATAAAGTATGGGGCTATATGATCTAATTTTATTCAAAACCTAATTGTACTCTCTGAACATACTAAGTTTTGAATGTCTACAAGGCTGCTGTAATGAGCTACCTGCAGTTATGTATCTATGCTGCTTATTGTTGTAAACAACAATATGGCAGTCTTAATATCACTGAAAGGGCCCGGCATGGCCAGATGGTTGGGGCAGTTGACACGCAATCTGAATGTCTCGGGTTCGAATCCCCATCCCACCAAATATGCTTGCCCTTTCAGTTGTGGGGGTATTATAATATAATGGTCAATCCCACGATTTGTTGGTAAAAGAGTAGCCCAAGAGTTGGTGGCGGGTGGTGATGACTAGCTGCCTTCCTTCTAGTCTTTCACTGCTAAATTAGGGATGGCTAGCAAAGATATCCCTCATAGCTTTGTGCAAAATTCAAAAACAAACAAATTACTGAATTTTTTTAAAATCCCAACTAACATTATGAAGCTAGTCTTTTGAAGTCAAATAAATTTGCAGTTTGTTTCACCAGATAGAGTAAGTAAATAACGATGGTTTGGAGAAAATTGTGTACCCTTTTTAAGTACTCTTCAAGCTTCACAGACTTAACATGGGCTAACATAGGATTCATTCAACTGCTAACAATATGAAAAATTCATTTTCCACTGGCATAGAGCCACAACTGAAAGTGCTAATGGGATGTACTTTTTGTACTTTATGCATATTCACTATTGAGTTTGAGATTTTATGGATTTAGTATTTTTTGTAAGGTCCATATCCATAAAGTTCACAAAAGAAATATATATATATGAATAATTCTTAGATGGAATTGTTTATTTATAAGTTCTTGTAATGTTATCAAGTCATCTCCATTTTTTTTTTTTATGATAAATACATGTAGGCTTCAGCAAAAGGAATGAGAGAAGCAGTCAGTGGATTTGTCTTCAGTGTTTATGCTTTGGTCATAATGGTAACCTCACCTGTGATTGCTAAGGCTGTAAGTAAAGCAAATTCTCTTTCTACTGGTGTTTGGATAAAAAAAAAACTTAAAAGAATAATTTGATTTGACAAAAAAGCTAAAACTAAAAATTTATCTATATCCAATAGGCCACGAGGCCTAAGTTCTCAATATCAGTGGTGCTACAGTTTTCTGTTTGTTGGTTGTAGGCTTCTTGATATTTATTGTGAGGTTGTGTTTTTATTCAAAGTTCATTCTCAGCCTCTCTTTGTCAGTTGGGAATAAACTTCTAATAAAAAAAAAAAGAATCTTACAATCAGTATCAGGAAGCCTAGAATCAACAAAAAGTAAAATGTAATACAGTCAGTGTTGAGTGTCTAGGCCTTGTTATCTATTGGACAGGTTTAATTTGACAAGTTCTTGTTGGCTTTATTCAATTGAAAATACTATAAGGGAAATTTGTACATGTGTGCAAGTAAAAATGTGTAATGCTTTTAGCAACTTAATCTTTTCTAAAAAAAAAATAAAAATAAAAATATATATGAGTATGAAGAGGTTTCATGGATCATAACATTATTAGGAAGAAACCAAATTGATTTAATTCAGCTTTTTCCCTTTAAAGTTTTTACAATTGCTTACCAATGAGCTATGTACATTGTACAATGTTGTATGTTTTTCTTTAACTGCATTTTTTCCTTTTTGTTTCTAAATATACTTCAACAATTTAATGTATTAAGTAGTATGGTAATGATATTTTTTTTTATATACCACTATGAAACAAACATCTGTTTGTATTTCAACAATTTAATGTATTAGGAAGAAGTATAGTAATATATTTGTAGTTTTAGTTTTTTTTTGTTTAAGTCTTAATGTCTCAAAATCAGAAATTGCCAAGTTATTGAAGTGTTTTTGTACCCGAGTCTAGGATTTGGAATACATTTGGTAGTGTAAGTATATGCCCTACTTCTATATGTAATAGTATATTTATTATACTTTCTTAGCTTCCTATTGTTGGAGTGAAATTTACTTTTCTAACTGGAGTATTTTTTTCTGGAGTCAGCAACATTCTCTTTGGGTAAGTTCTGTTTTGTATGTACAATTTGAGCTAGAGCTATTAAACGTAATATAATCATCAACATTAATTTTTTTTCATTTTGATAAACATGAATGAGGATAAACAATTAAACTGAACAGTTAATGTAGACATTTTGAGTACTTTGACTAAAAGTTGAGCCAGGTTCCATATTTTTGAATAGTTGAGAACCTTTATAAATGTAAATTGAAATTTTAGTCATGTTTTAATATTGTTACATCTCTGGTCGTTTGTTAATTTCCGGTATAAATTCTTCCCAAGGAACTTCAGCGATACAAGTCCTTTCTTAAATAAAACTAGTTTATTCTTTCTCGTTACAAACTTTGTAATACACTTAATTTCCACAGTCACTTTAACTTAAACACATGCTATAATTCACAACAATTCACACACTTTACTTATGGTCACTACCGCTCGCTTGACTCAATTTTTAACAAAAATAGGTAATCTAAAACAGAAAAGAAAGGAACCAATTATGATATTGAATACAAGTTACCGTAGTACTAGAAATTTATTTAATTTATTAATATTGTTACGACAGCGGAAGTCAAGTGACGCTGGTAACACGTGATGAGTTTCTAAAAGGATCGGGGAACCTCACGCATATCTCAGTATTTGCTAGACGCCCTCTTTTTTAGTATATAAGCCCGGCAAATAAAGCGGAGATAGAATTGCAGATAGATAGATAAAGAGAGATTGAAGATAGAGATTTTTTTCTCTAGTTTATCATTGGTAATTTTATTCATTTACATGTAGTCACTATAGTTGTAGTTATGACTAGATTTATCAGGATGGAGCTTTAAAATATACTTACTCTTCACTAGCATTTGGCAAAGATCATTATTTTAAAGTAACAGAATAATTGATACGATATCTGTTTGCCCCCAATTTCTTTTTATACTTCAGATAAATTTAAAGTGTTAAGAGATAAGGATTTGGCTGCTGGAGAGATTAAAATATTGACTACTTTTTACAGCAATAGTGTAGTCAGTGAAATATTTCAAAATGTCATAATACTAGTTAAATTAGAAAGTGTTTGACTCTCAAATTACCAATTTGTTTTTGACATCCTTCTTCACCAGTGGGGTCCATGTATTGTATAATATTGAGTCCGTTTATGTTTTTGACAGTTATTTCATTGAAATAAAAAAACTGACTAAAAGAAATATGGGTGAAATACTTGTTTTCTATGTAGAATACAAGGATACCCTAGCCATAATTAATTTGAATTGTAAGACTGATGCTATTATTGTTCAATTTTTCTTGTGACTTGTATAGCAATAGGGACCCTATAACTAATAAATCCATGAACCCACAAGCAATTTAATTCATAAATAGTATTAAAAATCTGTTTAAAAAGATCAGGGGTGATTGGTAATTCTAGGATTTAATCTTCATCTCCAATAAAACTTCATTATATGTAGACTCCAACATGAAGTTATTTTCAATTAGTTTGCTTATAAACTGCTGTTAAAATTATATGAAGGATATTAATACAGTTAGCAATTTGACAGGTCATGTGAACTGTAGTCCTACTTGAACTTGTACTTTTGTAATGCTCATGCAGCAGTTCAAAATATACTGTTTTTTCATTCTCTGTAGCTGCAATTTGGAATCGTAGTAACTAATTTTTTTTGTCATGTCAATTTGAATATTTTAGCAAAAACTGAATTTATAACCTACACTCTGTGTGTGTGTGTGTGTGTGTGTGTTATATATAAAGGATGTGTAAGTTTTTTCAGAAGTAAATAATTTTGTTTTTTAGGTTGTTAGTATTGGTGGAAAGTAACATTGTTTTTCAAGTGTTCTGTTTTGTGGTCCGGTCATTTGAAGCTCTTGGCGCAGCTGCTTTTACTACTGCTTCATACACAATTATTCTTGAAATGTTTCCAGATGATGTTGGAACAGTGTTTGTAAGTTTTCTTGAGCAATTATCAGAGTATAATATTCTAAAATATTAGTTTTTTTAGTTGATAATCTTAATTTTATATTAGTTTTTCCTGAAATCAAAAACTGATACGTGAATGAAGGAAAAATTAACTAAGGTGCAAAAATAACAATAATAATTAAGATTTAAGAAGAAAACACCTTTTGTATCACTTTATCTAATTAACATGATGATACTTGACTTTGTTTTAAGCCTATCATGACTGCATGGTGTGCACCTTTTGGGTGTTCAGTGTATGTCTGCATATCAAATTTAACAATTTCTGGAAAAAATGCCATTTTGGCATTATATAACATTTATATAGTGTATTTCACTTACAAAATTTTGAGACTGTTTCAAACATTTCTGTAAAAAATGCTATTTTAGTATTATATAACATTTAGTTAGTGTGTTTTACAAAGAAAATTTTGAGAATATTTCAACTTGTATTTCTGCATATCACTGAAGAATCTCACCTGTAAACAATGTCTTTTTTTTTTAAGACATTTTCCTTCCATTCCAAGGTATAGATTTATATTTGCTAAGAACTGTCATTTGTTGGAAATATAATGATGCATGTCTTGTTTTTCTTGTCATCTCCTTCTCTTTCCATGGTTTAATTATTTTCTGATGAACTAAGCTTTAAAAATAGCCATCCAGCCCTGAATATGTTCAAATTAGTATAACCAGATATGAATTTGTACTAAACTTATTTCTAAATCCTGAACTGAAATTGTGGACTATGATATTGATATTTCCAAAACTTAGTCTTGAACTACGTCATAATTGATATAAAGAGATCCTCTTTTCTTATTAACTTACCACTAACCCATAAACTGTGTTTTACTTCAGTTATCAGCCCTTATAATGATTTTTCTTGTTGTTGTTGTTTTTTTTTCCTGGTAAGTTACCTTTTCCAAAATGTTTTATGCCATTTCATTGTTTTTATTTTCTTAAGAGAATATTTTACCTGCTACCTTCTTTCTGTAGAAGAACTTATCTGCCCTACGTCTCCTTTCTGTTTGCTGTAATTCTTTCTCTGACTGTTCAATAGATGTTTTGGTGGATCAAGAATTTTTTATTCTACAAATTTTGCTTCTGTATACATTTTGAATAATTATTATAAACCTAAGTTACCCTACTAACAAAGGAGGTTTTGAATGATTATTCTTGTCGAACAAATGATGTACTCCACTCGCTGCACCTCACTTGGGGTTAAGCAGTCTCATGAGACCCAGAGAGCAATTTTTCCCTGTCCAGATTTTGATCTTATAAGTTGTCACTTATCATCCAGACATTTGACATTAGATAGCTGGAAATTATTCTCTGTTAATTTACTTGGGCCTGTGTGATGGAAGTCATACTGTAGGTTTTAGGAATCTTTTCCATTTCTGTTTTTTTTCTCTGATTCTGGTCATGCTTATTTTCATTTTTAGTTTTGATTGATGTAAGTTAAGAGCCACAAGTCGCATTGATTCTGCTTATCCATGAGCAGATTCATCTGTCATTGAAGGTTAAACTGTAAAGATTAGCCCAACTAATGATGGGAAAAGCTTCAGTAACTAGACTGGTTGGTTGAAGGTTTGATGCTATGAGATAAGATTTTTGTATAGCATAGGAATAAAACATTTTGATTAAATGGGGAAGAAAAAATTTAAAAGCATTACATTCTAACTTAGGAAATATGAATGTTTTTTTCTTGATTGTATTTTATTTTCCTTTAAAGTTAAACTTTAAAACACAAAGTTTGTGAACATTTTATATGTTCAATGCACACTTAGTTTTTCTTGAAATAAACACAAAATCAGTTTATTTTGACTGATGTAAACATTAGCTTTACTAACAGATTTTAAATGTAAAGATTTTCAAAGAAAGTATGGTTTTTTTCATACAAAATCAAATGCCATGTTTAACATACTTTATCATACAAAATACCAAGAAAAATATTTTGTGAAAGGTATGTGATGTCTAGAATTTGGAGAAGGTCATTACTTTTGGAATATTAATTCTTTTATGATTGAAATTTTCAGGGTTTCACGGAGACTTTTGTTGGAGTCGGATTGTGTTTAGGTCCTGTTATTGGGGGAGGTCTGTATAGTGTAAGTTTTTCTTCTATATGTTACAAAAGTGAAAGGGATATGTACGATTTAAGGATCATTGCATGGTAGGCAATTATAACATTAATTATAAATGTGATTTGTTATAGCATAGGTACTTACCAATGTATGGATTAGTAATTGTAGGAATATTGGTACTGTTACCCTCACCCCCGTGTGTATGTGTGTATCTCTGTGTTTCTTTGCACGTATCTCAAATTAATAGACCGAGGTACACGAAAATTTTACACAAGATGGAAAGTCAGTATGGGACAGTCCTCTCCAAATTTGATCTGGATTCTGGATCACTTTGGAGCATTTATTATAATGGGGAGATAGGGCATTTTTGCTGTTTTGGGTTAATAACTCTGTAAAGTGTGATCAGATCTGTACCAAATTTCCTGAACACATTAAGGTTGAGACACCTCATTACACTACAAAAAATTATCCAGATCAGTGATCATTCTGGATCTGAGAAGAATTTTCTGAGTATTAAATGTGTAATTGGACGTTATCCAATATAAGTGCATGCCATCTCGAAAAGGATGGCAGGATGAATCTTTGCAATCCATCTCATTGCTCTTGTTAAAGATTAGTAGAGAAATGCCTTAACTCTCTTGCTTTGAGCTCAGTCGATTGGACCGAGTTTGTGACCCTAAATTGACCTTTAGATTTTCCATACTATAACTTTTAGTATCTTTTGTGTATCTTCACAAAATTTTGTAAGCTTTCAGTAAACATAAGTCTTTTGTAGACTCAAAATCATAATTTTTAAGGAAATATTTTTACAAAACATTTCCCTGTGAGTGTATGGAGTGAAAGTTTTTACTGCTCCGAGTGCAAAATAATTTTCTTGTTAAGATTAAAAATACTTTTTTGCCATCTGAAGATTTTGAAATTTTATTTGCATAATCTCTAAAACCCTCTAAATAGATTTTGATCGTTTTTTTTTCAGTAAAACTTTATTTCATCTGTTATTTTCTCGACCCTAACACTATACATCTCATTAATTTGACTGATCTCATAACCACCATATATAAAAAAAACCTAAGTTACTCTTTTTTCTTCTTTCTAGAGTGAGTGCAAATTGTAACAGGAAACTACAGTTGTTTATCCTAAATAGCTTATATAGTGAAACAGTATATATCTGTTTCTACATAAATGTTATTGTTTTATTTCCCTTTGAACCATATCTAACTAATAATCCTGCCACACACATTGAAAATCACTTGGCAAGTGTTTACTTCACATTACCTTATCAAAATACATAATGCACAAACTACTTGTGAGCTTCTGACGAGCATACTTCGTGAAGAACTTTCAATATCGTATGTACTGTAACATCTAACCTGATAAGTTGGTAATTTTACATTTTTATTGGCTTTATGATAATAGATAAAGAATATACATGAAACACAAGAAATTTAGTACTGATCTTTTTTCTGTCAACTGTCGATGAAACTTAAACCTACCTAAGAACACAGATAAATAACATGTGAAAAGTAGACAATGTCCTATGACTATCATAATTTTTCTGGATTTCTAACTATGTGGTAAGAGACATTAAAAATTCAGCTAAGCTTGTCAGTGTGTTTCCCATGGGAATAAAGTTTGAATTGGAAGTAAAATAAATAATTCTCAGTACAGAAAACAATGTAATACAATACTTCATTTGATAGATTAAAACTTTGACTTTCTATTGGTTGCAAATAATATAAAATGTCAAGAGAGAACTATTGGTAATTTGTTAAAGAGAGAACGTGATAGGTGGGTGTGGTAAGTGGGTCTGATTTTCTATTTTATGGCTCTTTAAACAAATAAGATTGAAGGCTATAAAAAATTGTACTTTCTAGAGTAATAGTTATATTATGAGTAATTTATGTTAAATTCTTTAATTCTCAGAGGAGTGGTAAGTAAACTAGGGAAGAAGGAAGACCTAGAGAACAAACGTCACAATTCTCATACTAGGGGAGAGTGAGGATTGTTTGAATATTTTTTTATAAAAAGAATTAAGAACTTAAAACTTGTATACTATTTAAATTGATTTATTAGCTACATTTTGTTTATTTGTATACAATGAGAACAAAGTAGTTGAATTAAATTTTGAATGTAACTCTGTAAAAAGTCATGCCTTGTGCACTTTGACCTGCCTGTGGTGAGAGGGTTAAAGAAAAAAAAAAACTGATTTATTTCATTGTTGTGATAAAAAATAGTTAATGTAGTACTATGCCATTGCTATGTTTGGTTGAGATGCACCATAGCTGGTAGTACTTTCAATGAAGGTTGCTGTAATTGTATAGATGGTATAGTTAGATGAATGGGTCTGAATTGATTTTTTTTTTCCTATTTTGAAAAGAAATGTATAAATGTCCAAATAAAATTATTCAAAATTGTATACTTATTTTAAATATATGAAAATTATTGAAATCAAGTCAGTAGCGATGTTCTCTGTGAAAACTTTACTTTGATGTTAAACAGCTTGGAGGTTATGGCTTACCTTTCTACATCCTAGGATCTCTTGTCATAGTGAATATTCCTGTCTGCTGGTATGTAATGGGAGATTTGCCAGGTAACTACTACACTTTTTCCTTTGTGAACATTTATGTCTGCCTGTACACCATGGATATTTTTGCCTGGTTGTTTTTTTATTTTATTATAAAACTTTATGGGAGAGTTGACAGATAACCATTTGTTTTTGTAAGTATATTTATTGTCTAGTACGTAATAGTTGTTGTACAAGGTAAGCATTAATCTTTGTCATTGTAATTATTTTTATGTGCTGGCCCTTATGAAAATTAACTTCAGTTTTTAGGTGCATTGAAGTTTGTGCTTAAATCCAGTTTTTTTAAATATATATATATATATATATATTTCGGGGTCTGAAATTTGTGTTGTTTAGTCAGCCCTGACCAGCTAGGCCTGATGGCCGATTAGAATAGCAAAAACATTATTTAATTGGCCACGTAAGCATTCTTCCTATTCTACCTTGTCACCAAACATGAATTTGCTTACTTTTTTCTTAAAACCATAGCTATGTTTTTGTCTCACGAAAATATCTTCTTTACCTCAATCTGACAAATTGAACCTCTACCCTTCCGTGGATTCCTGGCTTATTTTGAAACATTATGAAAAATCTCTCTGACATCTAAGATGAAAAATAGAGATTCCTAGAGCATGTGAATGGTGTGCTCAATCCAAATGAAGTGTGATTAATACTAGCATCCCTTTTGGTCACTATTAAAAGTGATTTCAAATCACATAATTGTTTGAGTTTGTCTAGATTAATATAAGAATAATTTATGTTTGAAGAATGATATAATCAAAAAACTGTTGTTTTCAAATACAGCAATTGATAAAATGAAATTAACATACACATACATACAAACATTCTTGGAGTTACAAGTTTTGTAAATGATTGATTAGAAATTGTGAATTTCAGATCCTGATGTATACGTTTTGTGTGTATAGAAACATGAGAAATACTTAAAAAAACCTTTTTATGCTATATCACTATAATTTAACTTGTAATTTCTAGACCTTTCCACCACCACCTTATTTTATGACTTTAAAAAACACAAGGAAATATAATCACAATAATAATCAGAAGTTCAACACTGTAATAAACTTTAACTAGATAAAAATGCTTTTGCATCTTCAAATTTTTCTTGCAGTGAACAGCACTAGATATTATTTATTAAAAGTATTTTTCACTTGCAAAGTGATAGCTTATGATGATTAGGGTAAAAGAAACTGTGTATGAATTTTATGATACAGGAAAGGTAGCCTGGTGGTTCTACTAGATACCGTAAAGGATGATGGACCTTGAATACAATGTTATACGAGATTTTTAGATAAATGTAATATTATAAATTACCTAAACTTAAAGTTCGAAATTACACATTTATGTTGCTATTTCAAACAAAATGTTCTTATACTATTGTAATACTTTACTCTTATATCAGATGCTTATTTTTGAGACGTTCTTTCTTTATTATATCTAACTTGCATAGTTGCTTTTGACAAATAAATGACCGGTCATTCATGGCCTTTTTTATATTTCTTTGTCTTCCTTTGGGGTATTTAGTTGGACCCGAGTTAGCCTAGCTTTGGACAGTACTACTATCACTAGGCCTGACATAGTAATGTACGTCAGTGTAACGTTATAATTTAGTAATAAGTTAATTCAAATAGTAAAAGGTAAGCTTTGGCTTAAGCTAAGTATTGTATATATAAATAATATGACTAAGATAATGTTTCATATATTATATTCATTGAGATGTATTAAGAAACTTTGGTGCTGAAAATTCTTGCCACCAAAATGAAGTATCCTAGCATCAAACTTTCCTTGCTACTTTTCAACACACCACTTCACAACAAACTCTTTTCTACAATCTCAGCTTACCCCAAAATGGTATTGCTGATAGATACAATCTTTGGTCCAAGTTGTAAAGAGCAAACTGGTCAATGCTCATTTTAGTTTTACAAATGAATAAATAATTATTTCCATGTGTTATTCTTTAATTTGTGGAAGATTTTTAGAATTAAACACTCAATCCCCGGACTGGATTCGGGTAGTGCCCAATACATCTCAAGGCAAAAGAATTGAATGTATTAAAGCTGTACATAAAATTGTATGAAAGGAGGCTTACAATTCCTAACCTTCTAGTAACTAATTTGGTTTGTATGAGTTGCACATCTACAGACCAAGCATTTCAGGCTGAACCTCTGTCACAAAATGGAGTCCATAATCACTCTCTTGATTTTGTAACATTTATTGTGGAAGCAATAAATTTATGTGTCCAAGCAGGTAAGCATTCAGAATGTATCAGGAATATTTAACAGACAACTAACAGATATTTCCATTTTACTGAGGATGTTCATGCTCTTCTTCAAGCTTATGACTCAATCTTCAACATATACCAGGGTATTTGTGCACATGATTCTGAAGTATGGGTTTTGGTCTCCAGATTATTTCTCATTATTTATATTTGTGAAGCTTGGCTTTTCCCTTTCTCTACTTACACTTTTCCTAGACATGCTGTTTTTCATGTCATTTGACTTTCTGGAACTCGTTGGAGGTCTGTGTGCTGCCTCATTTGTATTAATATCTCTTATTCCTCTTGTTTTTTTATAGGATTTATCCCCCTTGGAGGGTATATGTATCCCTGTCTTCTGAAACTCTACTTCTTTTTCTATCAGTAATGTTTATAACCCATGCACTTATTTTACTCATGTGAACTTGAATATATTGACCTCTATATTTGATAACCCCTTTTAAATTTTTGGGACTTCAGTGCACAACACTTTTGTTGGGGTTCGACTCGTACTGAATCCAACAATCAACATTTAGAGAATTTCCTTGAGGAAGTAACTAGCTCTCCTTAATGATGGAATGCCCCATTTGAATAAATTTCCATACTTGTAGGATGTCAGTACTTGATTTTATTATGATCTCCATCTTACATTGTGGTATGTGGACTTGGCATATTCATCCAGGTAATTTTGGAAGTGACCATTTTTCTGTAATCACTTTTATCACTATGGATCAAAATGTGCTTTTTACTATTGCATGTCATTACTCTGATACAAATTTTTGGTCTATTCTGCTATTGTTAATTCTGCTTTTCACATTATTCCTCTGGAAGCTGGCTTTGCTGGACCTTTTGTTGAAACATTTCTCCAAGATGTACAGCTAAATTCACGTTCATCCTGCTCTACATACTTTACAGCATAAGGCATCTTGGTGCATAAAACTTATTTCACTTTGACATAGGAGCTATCATTATAGTCGGGTTAGTTTATCACATTTCATAATGCCTGTGCTAATGTCAAATGTCACATTTGAATTTCCTAGCAGACTAGCTAGTGACACTTCCGAAATGTTAACTGGATGTTATTGTACATATATTCAACGAATTTGGAGTCAGATTAAGACCGTTTTTTTTGTTAATCCAACTGATTATATCATCTTAAAAGGTATATTGTTCCAAAATAATCTGTCATCGTGACATTTTCTTTCAGTACAAAAACATACACAAACTGCTTTTACATGCCAGTTGACATTGTTAGTTTGTGTTTAGGTACAATATTGTTGCAAGAATGCTTCTTTAATGACATTCAAAACAATACTGAATGTGCCTGTTACCCTGTAAAGTTTTTTACACTTTATGGAACATTAACAGTTTAGGTTATAATTAATTACAGTTAATGTGATGATTATATCATGGCCACAGTTTTGAACATCACTAATCTCTAGACATTACATGGGTAACCTAATAGGAAGAGAAGTCTAATAGTGATTTAATAGTCTTGTGGCAGCATGCATGTCAATTAGTATATTTTTACTATTAATATTTTACTTCATCACTCTTCAAAAAGTTAATTTTGTGCAATAAAAATACAGGTTATAATAATATAAGAAATAATAAAACTGTGATCTAATTGTAGGTTCACTCAGAAGCTTGATATTTCGTATTTTTCTGTAATAAAGTGTTATTTAAAACTGACATTTGGTTGAAGAAGAACTTTATGGTAAATGTAAGAAAAATATGAATTCTTCACAGATGTTTAAATCCAGTGTAAAGAGGATCAAAGATACCCACCAAAGCAGGATTAACGAAGTGTTTTTTATAGGAAAAAAATTCAATAATAAATAATTTCTAGCCCATCATTAGTGGACTTTTTTTTTTTTCTTCTCATATTAGAATTGACTCTGTTTTATGATTTTAAGAATCCACCTAAATGTACAGCCTGTCTGGCTGTTTGGCCACAAGTTTATTGTCCTCCAGTTATCATAACTTTTTTAATAACTTACTTTATGCACAAAATTAATGATTAAGAGGTGAATTAAAATTATAATCTGTCATTTGTATTTAAATGAACTGTAAAATTAAGTAACCTGTTGTGCAAACAAAACTTCACTCTCATCTAGAAAACGAAAAATTTGGATTGTGTTTTAGAGTATATATGACAAAGCCTGTTCAACCCTTTTTGCCCAGCTGTACGTTTGTCCATGCGTAATTTAATTGCCATTATATAGACAGGAAAATATTTAAATATTATAATTGAGTAAAATCAAATGAAATAGAGTGTATAAAATATACTATAAATCGTAAATAAAACTGACTTAGTGAAACAGACTAAGTTAAGATTACACAAGAAACAAAACAATTTTATCTGTTTTGATATACCACATAAATATTAAGTCCTTTCTTGATTAAAAGTTAAGAACCAATAAATGGGATTCTTCATAGCAAAAACTTAAATACTGAGATACATTTATTTAGTGTCTCATATATTCCATATATATATCTTTCATGCATGCATTTGGGTTCACACAAACTGCAGTTTTTGTTTATTCAATAAGTACAGTTCTTTCTGTAATTGCAGGTGCTACAATAAACTCTAGTTTATTTTGTCAGTTTATGTAGAAAACTGCAATTAACTTACTACTGTTTATTTAAATATCTGCATTTACCACAACAAACTGTAGTTTGTTTGTTTTTACTTAAAAAAATTTGTTTGGGGAAATGACTGCAGTTAACTTTCATAAGGGTGTACCTTGTGGGTATATCTCCCATTTATTTGTGGAACCTGTGGACTTTTTTTGTGGTGTGTTATTACACATGAAAAACTGAAACAAAAGTCTTACTGTTTTATGTATGTTGCATACTAGGTAGCAATAAAACCATAAAGTCGGAGTCGTATAAAAATTTACTGACGATCCCTTCAGTAATAGCTGTATGTGTAGTGATCATTGTCTCTTCACAGTCTCAAGGATTTCTGGACCCAACACTTGAACCTCATGTTCGTCAGGTATGAAAGTTTAATACAAAAATTGCTTTGTGTTCCTGATAATTGGAGTATGATAGAGACATTGTTGTAAAAGTTTGTTTTTAAGGAAGGAAAGTAATGTAGACATTATACTGTGTTTATCATAAGAAATATAATCGTGTAGAAATGTTCTTATAAAGAGAAAATACAGTGCCAAAGTAGTAATTATATTATTACATGAAATATAAGTTAGAAATTGTATATCTTTGATGTAAGAACAAAATATAGTGTAGACATTGTTTCTTGTGTTTCTTAAAAATAAAACCACAGCAAAGAATTTTGTGCATCTTCTATAATAAGAAAATACTTTTTTACAGTTGTAAGGAAAAATAATGCTGTCATTACATTGTATATATTAATGTTTTAAATGTAGTGTACAACTGTTTTCATACAAGGACACAAACAATTGGTTCTGTCAACTAAGTTTTCATATTTAGCAGAAAGCAAGGTCAGTAGTAGCCCACAGAAAAAGTATAGTTGAAATAATTGCTGATATGCTTTTGTTGCTTGAAACGTGCATTTAGAATTTAGCATTAAAAATACTACTTTCATTACAGTCTTCCACCAACTTTATAACTTAATCAGCTTTATACAAATTTCATTCAACCTTATTATAATTACTAATTGCACCTTACACACACACACACACACACACACACACACACACACACACACACACACACACTACTTACTTCTCTAGTCGTCTCTATTCGTTAGTTACTTCTTTAGTACTTTACCTTTACACTAGTAGTGGTGGTATGCTTACAACTATTATAGTATTAACTA